GAGGGGCGGCCGCTTCACCCATGCACCGCCCCCTCTCCCTTCGGTGTGTTGCAGCCTATGGGATCAACAGCATCCTCTACCAGCGGGGCATCTACCCCCCCGAGACCTTCACCCGCGTCCAGAAGTACGGGCTCACCCTCCTCGTCACCACCGACCCCGAGCTGAAGAACTACCTCAACAACGTGGTGGAGCAGATGAAAGGTGGCGGGGCGCAGGGGTCTGGGCCGGGCCGAGGGGGCCTCTTGGAGCTGCGGGCAGGAGGCCACTGTGCCTTCTCTCTTCCTCGCACTGCACCTAACTGCTGCGGCTTCTTTCAGAGTGGCTTTACAAGTGCATCGTGCAGCGCCTGGTGGTGGTCATCTCCAGCATCGAGAGCAACGAAGTCCTGGAGCGGTGGCAGTTTGACATAGAGTGTGACAAAGCTGTGAAGGAGGAGAGGTGAGTGACAGCGTTCTCTGCCCCTGCTCTTCCCTGTGCCTCGTAGCTGTGCAGTCACAAAATAAACGCCGTGCGGATCACCACTCCTCCGGCTCCTCAGAGCGGCTGAGAGCGCCTCTTCCCAGTACAAGCATCAAACTGTACCAAGCCTACTGCCTTCCTCACTGCTGTTCCTTCTGTTTGTCTGTAAACCCGTCACTGTGTCACTGGAGTGCACATAATCCTCAGGTGTGAGATTGTTTGTTTGTTTGGTGGTTTGTTTTTATTTTAAAGCATCAGATCAAAACTTGATTTTTAATCTTCAACAAAGTATCTAAAATCTCATATTGGGTACGTGCCCTAAAGAACTACTGCTTTCCTGCTGTTATGCCAAAATGTTCTCGTCCATTCCAGACTGAGAATAAATGTAACATTCCTTACAAATACTGTGAAGCTTCACAAACATCAATGAAGTGAAATCAACTATCACTTAACTATTCTAAGCCTGTCTACCTAGGGCTTAAAAGAGTGCCACTACTGTAAAATTAAACTGCATAGTGAACTGACCAACAGAACTTAAGAACTGTATTTAAAGAAAACTGTCAGTACAGTAGAAGCTTGCTTTCCTAACAGAGTCTTCCTATTTTTCCAGTGCACCACGAGAAAAATCTCAGAAAGCTATTCAGGATGAAATTCGATCTGTTATCAGACAAATAACTGCCACAGTAACTTTTCTGCCACTGTTGGAAGCTGCCTGTGAGTATTCCTAACTTCAGAACATTTCTTTTCGAAAACCTCAACAAGTTTTCTGCTTTAGAAAGTATTTTCTGCTAATTTTTCTCAGGCTTCTTAATAATTACATGTCATATACCATCACATTTGTGAGACAGCATTTGGCTAGAGTGAGAGCACGTCTCTTGCTGTTTTCCATACTGTACAATCACATGTTGGATCAAATACTTTCAATAAATATCCTATACAGTTTCTTGCACAACACACAGTAAAAATAATTGCAAATGTAAATACTGTGTGCCACCTCTCGCTAAAGAACTTGGAGCAACTTCATTTAAAGGGACTAGTGGTACTTTCTCCCCAAAATACTTACAGCTTTTTTTGTCAAAACGACCAAACTCAAAGTGGCTGATTTAACTTAATGGAAGTAGTATGTGTACTCTGAGGAATATAAGTTTTCATAAATAATAAATTATTTTGTGACTACCTGTGGACAGGCTTGTATAAATAACCATTCAGTTCATGTGAAGTGTTAGAACTTCACAGAAGCTCTTCTATTTCTTCAGAGCTCAGCTCCACAGCACTTTAACATTTGAAAAAAAAACATTCACATCGCACTCACTTGAGAAAACTAAAATGGCTACACATGAATATAACCAGGACTTGTTTTCATATTTTAACTATTTCTTTTGACATAACCAGCATCAGTGTAATTTCTGAGAACCTTGGTATGCCTCAAGTTCTTTAACTTCAAACATGCTACCTTCTTAAGCGTGCATTACTGTTTTGTTCCCACTTGCTTACAGGTGCCTTTGACTTGCTGATATACACAGATAAAGATTTGGCAGTGCCAGAAAAGTGGGAAGAGTCAGGACCACAATTCATAGCCAATTCAGAAGAGGTTCGTCTTCGTTCCTTCACTACTACAATCCACAAAGTAAACAGTATGGTGGCTTACAAAAAGGATTCCTTCCCCTAAGATACTGGGGGAGTTTGCATATATCCTGTCACCTTGTAGTTTCTGTTCATAGTGCAGCTCAGTCAAGAAAACACATCACTACCATTGCTCTTGCTGAAGTATGATACAGAAAAAAGGCAGCATTGTTTGTCTATGAAAATGTGGTGTACCCACTAGTTTAAGCTGGTATTGTTTTTAAAGAGGTCTAAATAAGGTATTTATAATGACAGTTCAATTCTTACTTAACTGTATGAGCAAAACTAATGGTGTGTTTAACTACTACATTCACTAGAAAAACTGCCCAAATCTAGGATTAAATCCTAAATTGTGTTCAGATCCTCCAGTTTTGTATTTTAAGATTATTATAAGCTGCATTCTATTATCTCCTGAGATGCTGGTTCTTCATATTAAAAGCCTGGGCTGTTTTATTACCAGAAACAATCCTAAAATGAATCAACAGAACAATCCTGAAGTTATTTTGTACTTCTTTACAATGAAAGCAGCTGTTTATCAGGAAATCTTAAATATACGAAGCCTTGTATATTAATGACTGATGGATTCTAGGTCTGGGGATGCTGTTGTTCTAAGTTGGTGTATGTCTCTAGTGTCTGTCAAGCATTTTCTATGTTTGTATTCTTGTTTTATAGAATAAAGATTGAAATTGCATAGTGTTCTCTAATTCAGAGTCTCTAGTACTTCATATTTTAGGTGTTTTCATGGATGCTGTATCTTCATTTAATAACTGCTGCAGAACTAACACCCTAAAGGTATCCTGCTTAATACCCCCAATATCATTACTCTGTTTCCTCTGAGTCTCAAACTCAGTGTTGTAGAGTCAGTATGAAATCTGTTAATGGATTAATAGTTTTCTTCCACTTAAGTCTTTAAGTAACAATATAAATAGTCACTGATTAAGCACACTGTTGCCTTCCGTATTTGTTAAATGCCATTGGACTCTTCCTGAATTCTTCACCCATTTTTGTACTGGAAGAAATTAGGCATTTAAAACTGTAAGTGGTAATGGAACTTTCAGGTTCTTCCATGTTTTAGTTCATTTTCTTCACTAAGTTCACTTCAGCCAGAGCATTTAACTTCTCCCATTCTTCTAGGGTAATACATGATTTTTCCTGTTTTAACAGTATAATTACAAAAGTTTATTTAAAAAACATTGGTTACATGTACTCCACTACTGTATTACAAAGTTTCTGGACTTTCTGACTAGGGAACAGTTCTCTCCAGCAGTCCTAATCTAGCAGAAGTGAAGAGGCAGCCTTTTGTAAATCAGTAGCACAAAATCATGACTTTTAAAAATAAATATAATCTAGGTACTTCAAACAAATGTTACATTATTTGCTACTAGGGCTTGCACTGCAGTAACAGAGGAATAACTAGTGTTTTTCTTCTGCCTGTCAGCAATATTCTTTAACAGGTGACTGCACTACCCCTTCACACCTAGGAGGTGCACTTCAAGGAGTGCAACTTCAAGCACTTTTCCTGGGGAGGACGATCCAAGCAGTGAGTGCAAGTCAACTGTAAGAAATTTAAATCAGGAACTCACAACCACTGCTTTAGACCAAAGATGAGATGAGCAGGTGACTGGTACAGAGGCAGCAGTAATGAGTATAAAAACCCTTGTTTTACTGGGATGCAGAAGTCACTTCTTTCTTGTACCAAACACAATTTATCTTCAAGAAGGACCAGCGCAAAGTCTATCTCCATCACCATCTGTATATTTTTTTTCTTTTTTTTTTGTAGAGGCACCAACAGTCAAGAGCTCTATCATTGCATAGAGATAGTATCTGTGAAAAAGAACAGGTTATGAATCTGGAAGTTTTCACAAAGACCCTGCAGAACAGGAAAGAAAGAAAAAAAACAGTCACACTAATGCAGTCTCCCAGTAGCCCAGCCTTTATGCAGGTGTCCAACAGGATTTGCTGACACCTAAGGGGACCCACACTCTTCGCTAGCTTCCCGTAATTGTGGGTCACTTCTATAGAGTGAACAATCAAAAGCAAGGCAGCCTCCCCTCATCTCCAATGGCATTATAGTTATTCTTAGGAAATCGAATAAAGGATAAAATTTAGAAGTTTCATAACAGGCCTTTCTCACCTGACTAGTTCAGCTGACGTATAAGCTTGTTGATTGCTTCACCTCTGCAGCCAGGCTTACCCATTTCCTTGAGGAAACCCACTTTGTTACGTGAAGCATGGCGAGCCACAGACAGATGGAATGGCCACAGAAAGTTAGTGACTTTTTTGAAATACTTCCCAGCTGAGTAGATTTCATGAATAAGGTCTTCCAGGCAAATAATACCACAACACCCTGCAGAAAAATAAAATAAATTAAAAAAAACCACAATAAAACAACAAAAACTCCCTCCGAAATAACATACACATGAGATGCCCAACTGTATTCTCTTTCCTCGCACTACTCCAGAATTGCCAGTCCTCCATATACAAGTCTTGCAAGATTTTTCTCCCTCTTAAGTCAGACTGCAAACTCTCAACATTCGCCTCTTTCCTTGATTCACTGAGTTTTCTCATCCTCCTCCTCACCTAAATGTTTCTCTATCAGCATATTGTCTGTCAGAGGCATTCTCTTGTTCTTAATCTTGGCTTGGCCCCGTTTCAGGATGAGCTCTCGTACAGATTTCAGGTTAGGGTGTCTGCAAAAACAAGAATCAGGTTCTGTAACAAAGAGGCATGATACAGCAGGAAATCCCACCCTACTTCTTTGTATAGAGGCGGGAAAGTAACAAGTTATGTTTAGACAATGAGTAAAAGGACAGTAACAAGTTTTAGATATAAAGTTAACAAAGTTTTGACCGTTACTGCAAAAGCCAGCTATGGATTTGTGATACCAGGTGGAGTATCAAAAAGCTATGATATATACGTACAAACTACTATCAAGCCACAGGACTGGTACTTACCCCCATGCCACGTAAGGTTCCACAATCCGCAGCATCTTCAGCAATAAAGGAGTCAGTTTAACAAATGTTCCAGTGAAATTTTTTCTCAGCCGCAGCAACTCAATCACTCTTCTTACCCTCTTACTCACTCCCTTAATACTGAGTCAGAAAAGAAAGAAACACTATTAGGAACCACTCTAACACAGCAACAAAAAGGTCTCAAGTTACCTTCAAGAAGGCATGTCTGGGTTGATCACCCTTCCTTTGCTTAGCAATGATATGACAGCTACAAATGGTAGCAATAAGAAAGGTAAGGAGAAACAAAAGTTTCTTACTCTACAATCCGCACAACGAAGGCTAGTTTGTGCTCTTGAGGTACAGCTGTCTGTTCAGGTCTCTGCTCCATGCGTCTCAGCCGGACGTTGTCTCTGTGTTTGCGCCATGAATCTCGAACAAAAGCCTCAAGGCGTTTAAACTGGATTTGTTTCCCCTTCTGATGCTAAAGACAAAAAATTATGAGAAATTATCACCCTTCCCAACAGTCTTAGAGGTCTGCACCTCAAAGGCCAAGTGAAATTCAGAACTTGATGAACTATACTCTTTCAGTTTGCAAGGCAGTAAGAAGAAAATTAATTTCATAATCTAAGCCCAAGGGAGATAGAACTGAGGGACAACATAGCAATTTACAGGCAGCTAGCTATAACTTATGAACAGGAAAAACAGAGCAAGACCCAGGATACTGCTACAGGCACAGAAGAAATCAAATGGAAGCATTTGCAGGCAGCCAGATCTTCACAACTACATACACAGCTCAGCCAATCACTGGGAAAACCAGAAACAACATATGTGTGCAGATAAAACAGATGCTGCAGTGTTAGCCTAGTGTGACTCAAAATTATCACCCAAGAGAAAGTAACTAGGTTTAAAGTTCTTTTCTGTAAAGGCATGCATGCAAAAAAGCCCCCAAGCATTCAAATAACTATTCAGCATTTCTAATTGAAACACAAAACATTCAGCTCACTTGAAAAAAAAAATCTTTTCAGAATTATGGGAAAATTTAAAGCTTTTTTTAAATTACAAAGCTGTTGAAGTTCCTATCCTTAACTCAGAAACAAGTGCCTCCACCTAAATCACAGTGCTTTCTCAAATGAATAGGAGCTGAATGTGCATGGCAGTTACCCAACAACATTTTAGATACACTACCGGCTAAGTTATTAGGCCATTTAAAAACTAAAGAAACTAATGTTATGTGTCTTCTGTTGTATTTCACCCTGTAAATCACCCATGAAGTTGGTCTCAATTTTCAAAACAGGTAGACCTGATCGAAACCTCACCACTAAGGTAATTTTTTCTAACGAGAATCTTAAAAGGTGGCTATTTAACATTATTGCTTATGCTTCCACTTCAGAAATACAGCAAGCCATCCATATATTTTAAAACATAAACACAGTATCTAACAAAAATAGCAGGAGTTTTGCACATAATCGCACCAACTCCACAGAAACAGATTCAGGGGGAAAGCTTTAAGCTGCTTCCAAGAGACAGGCACCTGCTATATTAGCTGAGATACAGCCAAAGAGGTCTCAAATTCTGAAACAGGAAGGTCTGCTGTGCTCTGCCGGTCTGGAAACCACACACTGTGGACTGGGAGTCTCTGCATCAGCAACCCCTACCATTCTGTGATTCTGTGAACACGTGCCACCCTACGCGCAGAAACAGGCTTCATGATGACCCATCTATGCGCTAACAAATTTATCTACCCAACGACAGAGAGATAACTCTAAACGTACTCTCAGAAAAGCACACCGGCTCCATGAGGGCTGACAATGCAAAGGCGAACTAGTTTCAGACAGTGCAGCCCCATGGCGGCACAAACAACTCAGCAGCATTACATTTTACCACACACGCACCCTGGTCATCACTGATCTGAGAGGAAAAACTCACAGTCTTCAACAAACCTGTGTTTCACTATAACAAGCCAGAAAGTTCTGTCCTCTTTAAAGGGCTCAGAGACACACGGGGAAGATGTCCAACAACTGAAGAGATGAACTCGTGCTTCCCCTCAGAGACAGCCCTGAGGACCACCACAGTCCTAACACAGAGCCTCGGCAACGAGCCCGCCCCCTCCCCTGCCCACCCGCAGAGCTCCGGCATTCCCTTCTCCGAAACACGAGGACGGACAGCTG